TGCACGGAACAGTTGCTTAGCTTCCTTTCTGGAGGCATTCGCAGCACATGCAAAGACGTTTCATAGCTAAATTACTCACGCCAAGAAATGCAAGGAACAGTGTTCTTCCAAATTCAATTTTTTTAAAATTGGGCAAAACAAATTCGTTTTTCTCTGAGAAATGTAACAGACAATCCACTGAGGAAGAGAGGCAGTGCCACAATGAGTTAGTAAGTTGCTGTGTACTTCAGAATGCTGGGTACACAAGAAACGCGTGCCGTAAATTTTCTACTATTAACCGCTAATTCCCTTGAGCAAGCAATTCATACCGCTAAGCTTCGGTGCAAAGAAGTGAAAAACGAGTAGTTAGTCGTTGGCCTGCAAACAACAGCATACAGTGGTGATCTGGTGCAATCATGCTAAAGCTTATTACCCATACGGAGATGATATCTGAATCTGAAAAACTTTTCTCCTTTAAGGAACGCAAGAAATGAAATGGCACAACGTCTTAGGACACGTGCTACACTCAAATCCATAATGATCTAAAGAGTCGAGCCATAAGTCATCCCGATTATTTTGGTTTATGAACTTCGCCGATTCCACAGTTCAGTGTGGATGTGATGACACCCGTACAATATTCATTTTGGAACTGTATGGGAAATGGATATCTAACTGGTCTGCTGTTTGGATTCAATCTATAATCCAAAAACATGCATAGTACAAAATTTATATGACAATATTTGGCAGTCTTCCTCTTAGCGAGCATGTTACAACAAACTAAACAAGCCTTAATTTAAACGACAAGACATAAATGGCGAAATTGCAAGAATCGGAACTGGGGAAGCACATATTACTGAAAGAAAAACTAATTTACTTCGGAAGTGGTCCCGTTCGCACAGAAATCCACCGAACCCACACTGTCATTACCATCACTAGCTCATAAACGACCAAGCAGGGGAAGTTATTACCATGTTTGCCACCAGTGTAGATTAAAAACATGCCGATAGCATAACCGACACTTTTATTACTGTCCAGCTCCCACCCGAAGGGCAATGAGTATGATACGTCATGACGCGAGAAATGGTACTATGACTCTATGCAAAGTGATGAGGATGGAAACGAAAAATTAAATACACCCAACAGGGAGTCCCCCGAGATCTTCGCGTACAGTCTATCTGCAAAGATACCGATGCTATTACAGCTTGCTAAACTGGCGACGGTGGAAAGATAGTTGTTCGATCTCCCGTTGAACTGAGACGTCAGGTATGCAACGGCCTAACAAGCTGCGATACCGCCGCATCACTCACTATCCAGCAGACCAACTATACGCTATCCGTCCTACCATAGTAAGCGATCTGCATGCACACACCATGGACACGCTCCGTAGCCTGAAAGGACTTTCAAGCTTAGAATCGAAGCTGTGTAAATTAAAACTTTTTAAAGTCCAAATTTTAAATTCTTATTCTTTGCATGTCGATTGGTCTGAGTCAACGTCAGTGAACTACTCTCGCATCGTCTAAATGTCCATTCAAACCATACATTGGCAATGTAAAAAAATTTATAGTTTCACATAAAAATAAATCTTGGTAAAATTATCTAAATCATTAAACTTGACAAAACCCTATATTCACAGAGCCAACTTTCAGGCTCTAGTGAAAAACGCGGAGGGTTCATGGCCGTCGTCAAGTGCTCGTAAAATATAGCCAATGATGCTGCTGGCACTCTCCATCATTATACCGTCTTTGCGATCGTCCGCGATACTAAGGAGCAGGATAAAAAGTGCGAAAGTTATGTGATGTTATCTATTTGATGTTGAATGACGGTAGTCGAGCAGATCAAGAAAATACAACATTCCGTTAATTCTTTGTTACAAAAAACTTTATGAAATGTTGCAATGTTTGTTAGACTCACAGTCCAAAAATTTGATTTAAATATGTAAATTTAAGTTTTCGCTGTCATGATAAAAACTAATTCAATATGTCTGTGACTGGTTGTTTACAGAGTTTCGCAGAAATGAATGTGGAAGAAACGGATGGACTCTCACCGATTTAACATTTTGCGTATTTACATTTCAATATTTAAAAAACATGCAAATCACTCAAGTGTTGAAGTGCACGATATCAAGCGCTCTTGTATAAAGTCTGCGTGTCCTTGCCAAATGGTTGTTCAATTCAAATAAAGTGTGCGAAAAAAAATTTCACGTAGGTAATGTCAATAGCTTGTTTGTCGAGAAAAATTTTGCGGTTAAAATGAATACAATGAACATTTGTGAATTCAGCTAATCGCTATAAAAAAATCTCGATATTTACGAATTTTTTGATTCAGTTTTGATTCTGGACATTGCGGCTTTTCAGAACTTCTACTCACTCTTATAAAAAGGAAGTAAGATAGTTTCGATCCCATGCAAGCGGAAAATATACATCGGAACGCAAAAGATTTGAACGTAATGCATCATTCAGTAAGAAGTAACTTTTACCTAGTTCAGAAACACTTCACAATTCAGACAATAAAAATATCTCAGATATCATGGGTCAAGATGGCAACATAAATGATTATGCGGCAATGTGTGATCTCATTAACTATTTTTCCAATGATTCTACCGTAATGCGAAGCACTGGATCGAAATATTGGAAAGATTCGTCGAAAGCGTGAATTACGTAATTACGTGAAACGTGAATTATGTAACGTTGGAACAATATTACAAATGCCATCCAAATCATCAAATGCAAATGATAAGAACACGGATGGACTTTCAATTAAACTTGCCTTGCGGATGCCGAAATCAATGCATGAGAAGAGCTGAAATAACACCATCGACGAAAGCAAAAAATTGCTCCTCTGCAACTTGAGAAAGTGCCTCAGCGTCGATTTCCATAGAATGGGCAAGCTCAACTGAACTGATGGTGAAAAAAGGTGGGAAAAACTCTGGTCAGTTGCCAATATGCAACTATAGGAAAGCAGCGCATATTACGAAACTAAATCACTAGGAAAAATGGAGAACAATCTTCTAAGCTGGACGTTTTATGAAGTCGTTGTAATTTAATCAACCCATAACTCAAATATAAACGTGCGCAAAGAACCAAAGCTCTCATTGGAGCGACACTATTAGGAACATTTCGTATTTAGGTGTGAAGCTGAGCAACGTAGTTAATACATGATGATACTTTTCATTGTGTAACATTGTTTGTCTAATGTTACGGCTCGTGCATAATCCGGAAAGACTCTATATTATGTAAGCTTGTTAGCAGTGTCAGTAAGAAAAGGAACTGACATTTTACGTTTGGTACGTAACTACCAGGAATTTATGTAAAGTTTCGCCAGCAGTTAACAGTTTTGTTCAGGATTGAACAGTGATGCACACTGGACAATGAGCTCTGCGTCATTTGAAGACATTTTATTCAATAAGTGATTTATAGAAGGGACATTAATATGCAATGGTACTTCCTCCATTAGTGATTCTCAGGACAAGAAGTGTAAACAAGTATATTACTGAAACTCAATGATTAGCCCAATGTGGGAAAATTTGAACCCTTACCGGAATAAAAATGTTCTTGTTTTCTAGTGTGTTCAGTAAGAGTGTTCATATAATGAAATACCAAACATATTTTTAAAAAAACTGTCGACGTTACTCTTAGCTGTATATCATAAATTATCTTTTCATAATCAATCACCTCCCCACTGGTGAATAATTATCACTTAACAAATAGAGTTCAAATGCAGTGACCCATATTTGACGACGATGTTTTAAGAACTGTTTCAAAATTACACACTTAAACTGGTAAGAGCACTGGAAAAATCATCGATACGGTTCACGAATGATAGTGAAAGGCAATAGAATATCTATCGCAAAGAGTTCAAGCTGGCTTCATACCGATCGCTGTTTTCACTGCAATGAATCTTATTAAATAAGTAATCGTTGAATCAGGCGCAATATTTGCCCCCGGAAAATTTTGAATTACGCACGTAGAGCGCATCATTACAGAATACGCATGTACATCCAAGAGTATGATCCTCCAACATTTTCAGCCTTAACCTTCAAGTGTAAAGCATTTATATTGCCTAAGCATCTCAGCTGCAGTTAGGTATTAAGTTATTTGTCAGTCAATAATCTACAGTATTAATGGACTAATTGAAGTCAATCTGTCAATGAGTGATAGGGGATTAACCTTTGATTAGACGACAGATCGGATTCTTCTTGTCTTGATGGAACGGTACTTTCGAAATCAGGGTTAGGCAGCATTCCAAACCAAGCGTTTATCCAACGGATATATCATTTCCCCAGTGCAAGCAATACCAATCTCAGATTCCCTGGAAACGCACCCTCCTGTTTTTACATGACTTCCTTCCTTCTGTCACCATCACCTATTTCGTTCATCACACTCCCAAACAGAAAAGAATCATGCAGCATCTGAATCAACAGTTGACAAAATGTGAATGATGAAGACAAGGCGATAAAAGCTTAACCTTGCAGCCGATATTGAGAACGAAATTATTTTAATTACGCTTGAATATGGCATCGAGTAGCTGGTAATGGTTTGTTAGCTACTTGTGAAATAAAGTCTGATTTCTAACTTACAGTAAGTCATTATAAGACTATATCATGTTGCTGCGACTTTTCAGAAATTAATACAATAATGACTTACGTGCTACTGCTTTGTTCGTACCGGTGATTATTATTGTGCTGTCTGCTGACCACCACGGCAAGCAAGGGTTTTTAGTCAAAACTAGAAGTTAGAAATTGGGTCAAAAACCTAAGAGGATTGAAGGAATTGATTTTTAGGAAACACCATCGATCACCGGTGATGCCAAAACCTTCGTTGTGCGCACGAAACAATAACAGCAGAAAGGAATTTCCAGCAAAAACAACGCAATGAAACTTTTGTTTGAAAGCTCAACAATCAACGCATAGAAAGGTCAGTGGCAACAAACAAATTTGAAAAGCCAGCATTTTGACCCAACAGTTTTTGCATTCCAAAGCAAGCTGATCGAACAATCTCCCATTAAGCCAAACCGACAATCGATCATGTGAAATCAGTCTCAAAATTGTACGCTGGTTCCGTAGACAAGGACACGGCGGCTTCCATTCGTTCAGATAGTTTGTCTGCAAGTTTACCTAAAAAGAAAACATATCTGTCATTTAAAAGCTTCGATAAGCTCCGCCTTGGACAAACGTGAAATAGCGTCAGATAAGTTAAAGTTAAAAAAGCAACCTACCAACTCGAGCTTTCTTTTTCTTCAACTTCTTACGTGCCAGCTTCATATCATGGCCGATTCGCTGATTACCCTCCGTCTGAAACAACGACGTAAGTTCATCACTCGGAGAACTGGCTGTTTCCTTTGGCGTTGCAGCTTCTACTTCCTAAAACAGAGACTTAGTTGTAGGGCAGTGGTAACTTTATTAAAAAGCTATTAATTTTAAGAAATATGAAAAGAAACAAAGATAGACGAAAGCACTGAAATACCGGGAGAAAACTGAAAACATACTTTTCGCCTATTAAATGAGCTCATCTCCAATAGATTTTATCCTTACTTGTTAAAGCTTGTTCCTTTATCACGGTTCCATACAATGGATAACTACACGTAACACTAACATAAAATCTAAACTACAGTACCTCAACAAGTCTGTTACTCAACCATATCATAATATTGACATGTTCTTCCGCAGAGAGATAATAGAATATTTCGCTATTCTGACGTCAGCTTGCTTGCTAAGAAATACTGAAGAAGTAAAGAGGCAATTACCTGACCTTGTTCTATATCCTACAAGCTTTTTATTTGGCCTTTCCCCTGGCCTAGAGATGTTGACGAACCACCTTCAGCGATGCCTGGGATGCACTATTCAATGATAAGATCAGGCTGTAACTCGCTCTCAAAAAACGAGCAACCATATCTGGAAATCTTCTGCTGAACAGGAACTCACAGAAGATTTGCTCAATCTTTTATCTTGGGATGCGTAATCAATTAACAGATAGCAGATAACCCGTTAAAGAAAATTCTCGACTAACCACTCCTTCAATTTTTTCTGCGTTATCCATGTCGGCGCACATCTGACGTGCAATAAGCCTTTGCAGGGCTTTTATTACTTCGTGTTTATACTTCTACAGGGCGCGGCGTACACAACTGAGAGACGTCAGCCACGAACTCCGGAGGCGTCAGGCTCGAATTCTCAAAAATTACAATTTGTCTTAACCGCTAATGCAAATTACACGAGGCTACTTTGGTGCAACCAACCAAGAAACCGTTAGCAAGTCACTGGCTTGTGAACAACAGCTACAAACAGGTGTTGCGGCATGGTCATACAAGAATGGGCGAGAAGTAAGGTTAAGCTGCCGGAGGTAAGCGCCTCACAGAGCTATAATTCGCCTTTACCCATCTGATCACTACTTATTCCATTTGAGAATGAGTAAAAGACCTAACCCCGTTGTTGTTCTTCTATGTACTTCAGGTAACATTCATTGCATGGTCTCATGTTGATGAAGAAAGAAATACTCTGCTATGTGATATACAATGTGCCTCAAAATTATTAGTTACTGTCATCACCATTTAATGTGTATATTATATCAAGTTGATCTACCCTGCTGTAAAACAAACAACTTTATTGGCCTATTCAAGCAATAATAAAACAAACAAAATCAAAAGAACTGATCACTTGCTTTAAAAAACTAATTTTTTTAAAACTTGCACAATTAAGTAGCATAGTTCCAAAACGTAATTTCACGCAATACGTCATCTCTATTTTGCGTAAACACACCCAGGTGTCATTTAAGGAGGCGAGGGCTGTGCGGTATTCGATGAGCAATAAAACCTATGAAATTGAGTTTTGAGACTCATGCACTTAGCAACGTACGAATACATTCTTGACGTTCTACCGAAGTATATATAGCATCGTTACTTGGCGTGAACAGAAATGCAGAAGAAGAACAGAGTAATCGAGATTCATGACATGTGCCACGTAAGAAGTACGAGCTATAAAACATGACTGGTGAACGGGCAGGACATGAACGCTAACTAGTGAATGAATACCATATGTATCCAACACTGCAAAGAATCCCACCCAAGTTGCCTTTAATGCACCCAGAAGTAAGAGGTGGTATACTATGGTATACTATGCTATTTTAAACAATGAAAATGAAATTTATTCATAGATTTGGAGCGATATTTAACGATAACCTACCACCAGGTCCGGCACGACATCAAGTTCCATTTGTTCTACATCTGTTTCGGACCGGAGAGAAATCGAGCTACCGGTAAACTTTGGAGCACAATCTAAAAAACAACATATAAAGAAGATGAAGTTAAACAATACAGTGAAACATGAGACTTATAGGTCAATGATAACTGGAACAAGGAAGGTAATAAAATAAAATAACTTTATCGAGAAAGACATTTAGAGGGTAACTGCAGTGGTCATAATCGGGGCAGAAAATCATTGTTAAATTACGCGTTTAGGGAGAATGGAGATCGTCCTCGTTGTTTCCTTGTTTCTCAGGAGTGCCTATAGTTCCAAAAACCCAGACCCATTCATCATATCTGCGGATACTTCTAATTTCAACCGATCAGTAGGAGTCTGGCTCGTTCAGAGTACAAGAAGCAGCAACAATGATTGAGCATTTTTATATCAAACAGTCCCATGCTAAGCAGAAAGAAAACCATGAAGGTAACCATAAAATAAAGATCATGACAGAAAATCACCGGGCGTGATGGCACAGTGGCAAAGAGAATCCAGAAAATTCTTGTATTACGTACGAACTTTCCTGATGTAGGTAGGAATTAGTTTCACGTTACTTCGCTAGGTAGATAATTCGCGAATGATAGGGAGAGAATCGCATTTTGGCCTGGTCATGACAGAATGGATGAGATGCTCAGCCGTACTGTCTGATGTGAACGTCCGCCAACTGTAGCTGCACTTCGTCTTGATCCACCTGGTATTTGACTATCTAGTGCAAATATTAAAAATATGGTGTAGGTCAGATTTCAATTCAACTTCAGTCGCTATCTGATCACAATGGAAGGCCAAACCTACGACTATAGCAATGTCCTGAAATATCTCGGGTTTCTCCTCACAGAAACTGCACAGTTCAACATTCAGTCAATGCCATCTCGAAGGGACGTATGGCATCACACCAGGTACTACATGCGAGCGCAAAAGCAGCTAATATTTCGAACGTCGAGATTAGCTCACCTTCTTACCCTCAGGTACGTAGTACCATTCCTGACCTACGTCACCATCGTCACCTTTCATGATAGACTCACAAACGAATTCAGAACATTGAGGACCGTCACTGTAATGGCGCACATCAGCATAATTAACGAAAGCACAACGACTTGAATAGTAATCGGTGAAAAGGCTCGTCATCCAAGGAAACACCTCTGCGCGTCTTTAGCAGCGCATTAAACACAAAAGCAGGGAAAACAGCTGCTGTGCATTGAAAAATTTGGTCAGTGGGAACGCATCCTAGTCTGCTCAGAAAATTATCATCATTCAGCTTTATGCCGCTTCTAGGCTGCAGTTTTGAAGCAAAGGTGACTACAAACAACCTAAGCGTGAGGCGCCGAGAACGTAAATGCACACTGTGTGCATTTCTGTCATTTTCTTATCTGTAATTAGGCCATTTGGCGTGAAAAGCAATCACCGCTTAGTTGCTGCTGTTGAAAACATTGACCCAAATGTCCGCAAAGTTATTGTTGCACTTGTAATGAGAATATCGACTTCCTAACGTGTCTTCCAAATGGTGCGCTGATAAGTTTTCGAAAACCGGACACTCAACGGAAGGTCAACATTCACGAAAAGATCGGCTCACCGTGAAAGTCAATGTTATCCTGCTTGTAGTGCATAAAACATGTCATGTATATTGTAAAAAAACTGACGAACATGTACCGTTCTATGATGTGCCGTGCAACACTCTGCAGATGAAGCAGGCCTCTAGCCATCCTACAATAAAAGCCCAAGACTTTCAATTTTTTTTAAATATACAATCATAGAACTGGAAGTATTGTTCTGTCGACTAATTGGCACTACATCGATATGAAATTCTGCAACAAAATAAACAGCAAAAAATTCATAATTTAAAACAAACTAACGTTTAATGACTAACGACTGGCCATCAGAGAGGTCGTCCAAGTTGAATTCTTTACTCATTTCAGCGACGATTTCACTGTTGATGTACGACGCCCCTTCGAAGGTTTCCGGCGGCAATGAGTGATACCGAATGCGCCCGCTACAACGGAAAAATATGAGTGATGAGTTTTTGGTTTGAAAAAAAAACTGGAAGTACTTGTTCCAATCGAGAAGCACGATTCTGGCCGCTGCCTCAATATCCGGCACACCTCCTTTGCGTAACTTGCCGATCTTCCGTGCGACCAAACTTAGAAACTCGTTCAAATCTTTGAATTCTGCAATGCGATAGTGTAGCATAAGCTAAAAAGTGAACAGCTCACTAGAAACGGGTGCAATATTGCTTTACGATAAAAAACATACTTTGTCCTTTGTACACCTCCGTAGCACAGCCCCCACAGGAAAAACCGGGTCCTCGAGTTTCTCGACGCGGAAAGCGTTCTTTAGAGCAAGCTCTGCTTTATCGAAACATCCCTTAGTGGCGAATACCACACCCGGTGTATCAATCAGTCTGATTTTCTTCGACAGGTGTACTTCCTGCGCTGTCCTATAAAACGTCATAATGACGGTATACAGTTATAGTTATAGCCATCGATCGATGAATAGCGAAACCTCGTGACACCCGGAACCGCACCAACGACACACGCAAGACTTCGTTTCAAGCTGTTGATGATGCTGCTCTTGCCAACATTGGGGTAGCCTAAATTATAGTGTGGTCAAATACAGATAGGTTAGACGA